GCACACAGAACCACGAAGTGACAGTAGCCAGTATATAAGAGATGGCGGCTGAGCCGTCGGAAGTAAAACAAGAGGAGGCAATAGTGGAATTTTAGAAGTAGTAGAAGCAATGGTAGAAGCAGTAGTAATACTAGTAGTATAAGTAGTGTCACAGTAGCAGAGATGACAATAAGAGAAAGAGTAGTGGCAGTGACACAAAAATCAGCGAGTGGAGTTTTAGCGAAGCAATAGTAGTATTACTGGAGGTAGTCCAAGAACATGAGAAAAAACAAAAAAAAGGTGGACTACAGGAGAGCTAATGTTTCACGAGGGTACGACAGTAACCCGGGAAGAGAATTCATAGGACAGCATCAAATCAAGGCAGAAGGAAAGGCAAAGAAAATATAGGAAAGGAGAAGTGAGGAGAGGAGGAGATGATCAGGTCAAGTCATAAGTGTTCTGAACTTCGGAACATTTGACAATGTAATGAGATAGGAAGACATCTACAGAGACAAAGCCAGGTTTAAGATTCATTTGAGGAGAGTTGTGTATAAAGGATGCTTCAATAAGACGGCGTCTGTGGAAGCTTGAAGAAGGAAACACAATTTTAGCAGAGGACCAGTTAATAGGATGACTGTTGTCTCTAATATGATAGAAAAGAACACTATTAGTATCGTCAAGTTTAACACTTCCTTTGTGCTCTTTAAGTCTATCAGAAAGAGAGCGGCCAGTTTCTCCAAAGTATTGGAGAAGATAAGATGAGCAGGAAATGGAGTAGACTCCTGAGGTATCCGTGGCAGGAGAGGTACGAACTAGATTACTTCGAAGAGTATTAGTTTGACGAAAAGTAAGTTTGATGTCTAAGGAACGGAGGGAGTTGTTAAGATTTAGGAGCCTGGAAATATAACGAAGACACAGAACAGGAGATTTCACAGTAGATAGTTTGGGAGAGAAGTTCGTTTAGCATGTGAGAATGCAGAGCTTTTGAAAGGCAGCAAAGCCAAGAACGAACTACGAAGAATGAAAACTCCCGAGTCAAGAAACTGAAGGTCACAAATGCAGAGGGAACGGAAAAAGAAATAAGAACACTTTTCTTGACATAGAAAGCATAGAAAAAAGATTCGAATGTACACATTATTGTGCACTGTCTTGCTATAAACGAAGAAAGAAATGCATGTAGCCGAGAGATGGACATGTACATTCCCATTTAGCTTCAATTTTAATGGAAGGAGCAAGATTGTTAATTACAATTTTCCCAAGAAACATCCTGGAACATTGCCTGAAGACAACAATACAACATTTCCAAGAAACATCATGGAACATTGCCTGAAGACAACAGAACAGTTTACCCAAGAAAGATCATGAGTACTGCCTGTAGACAACAATTTACGTTAATTCCTATTTTAGGGATCAAAGTATTCTTTCCTGCTGGTGAAAAGGTCACTTTTTTTTTAAATTGAATCTGGTGCTAATTACTTCTGCGAGGAAAAGTAGTGCTCATTTTTTTATATTTAGTTTAAATCATGTTTTTTTTTTTTATGCCAGGCGTGGATTATAATTTTTATAATAGTCTATGATAACTCACGGGTTAAAACAAAATATTATTCAGGATTTTTCTCGGTTAATTTAATTTTATTGTTAGTGTTATTATTAACTCTCGGATCAGTTCATGATTTAATTTTTTATGTCAGGTTTGAGAGGTCGTTAGTTCCTATGTCTTAATATTTTGGATGAGGCTGCCAGGCGGAGCCTCTTCATGCTGGAGTTTTTATATTACTCTGCACTTTATTTGCTTTTTGCTATTATCTTGGTTAAGTTATGTTGACTTATTATGCAACCTTGATGAGCCTAGTGTAGTCGATAGGCTTTAAACTCCTTTAACCAACCAACAGTAACATATGTACACCGAGAAGTGTATATACGCTGAAAGTTACTGGTAGTGAACATGTTACTGGTAGTGAACATGTTACTGGTAGTGAACATGTTACTAGTAGTGAACACGTTACTGGTAGTGAACATGTTACTGGTAGTGAACATGTTACTGGTAGTGTACATGTTACTGGTAGTGAACATGTTACTGGTAGTGAACATGTTACTGGTAGTGAACATGTTACTGGTAGTGAACACGTTACTGGTAGTGAACATGTTACTGGTAGTGAACATGTTACGTTGAACATGTATGGTAGTGAACATGTTACTGGTAGTGAACATGTTACTGGTAGTGAACATGTTACTGGTAGTGAACCGTACTGTGAAATGTTACTGGTAGTGAACATGTTACTGGTAGTGAACATGTTACTGGTAGTGAACACGTTACTGGTAGTGAACATGTTACTGGTAGTGAACACGTTACTGGTAGTGAACATGTTACTGGTAGTGAACATGTTACTGGTAGTGAACATGTTACTGGTAGTGAACACGTTACTGGTAGTGAACATGTTACTGGTAGTAAAAAAAGTTAGTTCACTACCAGGCTTTAAATGTAATTAAGGAAACATACGCAGCAAGGCCTCATACATCAGTATGTGTATATCTATCAGTCTATGTATGCTGAGAGTTTATTGTAATCTCTATTTTAGGGTTTAAAGTAATCTCTCAGCATCCATAAGAGAGATCTTAATTCCTATTTTAGGGACTAAGATGTCTCTCATGGTACATAATTTACATACAGTCCTTGTGAACCTTTGTTGAGTAACAGACTTTAAATATTTTTAAGCATTCACCTATTTTGGACACAGTGTAAGTGTATATATTATTTGATCTTTAGAGCTGATACTTAAACAATGTTGTAAAATATTATTATATTACAAAAACACAATAATATGTTAGATATTTTTAAATAATAAGATGGTTAGGTGTGGGGAGTCAGCTAGTCAGTACCGTATTTAAAAACTGATTATTGTTAAATATAAATTTTATTGATACATTTATTGTTACGAGAATAAATGATACTTTTAGTTTACAAAGACATTTACTTAACCAAAATAACTTTTATTTTAAACAAATATCCATGGAGGTACTGCCACCTGTTACATACGTTTATATTAAGAACGTGTGAGTACTGCGGCCAGCAGTAACAGCCTGGTTGATCAGGCCCTGATCCACCGGGAGGCCTGGTCGTGGACTGGGGCCGCGGGGGCGTTGATCCCCGGAATACCCTCCAGGTAGACCCTACAGGTAGACCCTCCAGGTAGACCCTACAGGTAGACCCTCCAGGTAGACCCTACAGGTAGACCCTCCAGGTAGACCCTACAGGTAGACCCTCCAGGTAGACCCTACAGGTAGACCCTCCAGGTAGACCCTACAGGTAGAGTAGGTACACTGCAGACTTCTACTTACATTCGGTACACTTGTCTTTATTTTGTTGTTTCTTAATGTTACTTATTACTGTAATTGTTCCATCAGTGTTAACGAGGCTTGGTCTGAGACCGGCCACCGAGGCAGATGGAACGAACATATATGGACAGTCAAAATGTGGTCTTAGCAGGTTTTGCCCTCTCTCCTGATCAAGTGGTCAACTGAATTCTGAGTTGATGACTATGTGCCCAATATACGTACTAGTACGCACAGTTCAGATATACCATCTGTTAGTATTTATAACCTCACAACGAACTAGTACGTCTAACTAGGGTAAATGAAATCAGGAGCTTTTGTTCCACCACTAGCTTTCCTACCAGAAAATAAGGTGTGCAGCATATTTAAAGGCAGTATTACACTGGTTATTTAACTGTAGACGTATCTCGGGATTTACCCATGAAGGATACTTTACTGTTGCTTGGCAATAATATTCTTTGTTCTAGAGTGTGTCCCGAACCTATTGTAACCACAGAAAGCTCTTCTCATTCCAAATTTATTACAGTTTCATGATACTAACAGTGGAATTCAGTCACAAAACACACTAAGTATATTTAACCCAGGAAAACACAAAAGCCCAACGATGTGGCTTAATCATGTTTCGAGGAGGGAGGTGGATGGGACTTGTAGAATGGAGGAGGGAGTAACAACACTTCGTTCTTCAGATATCAAACTTAATTTTCGCCAAACTAATGCTCTTCGTAATACTCTTGTTCATACCTCCCCTCCTGCCACTGATGCTTCTGGAATCTACACAATTTCCTGTTAATATTTTCTTCTCCAATACTTTAGAGAACTGCTGCTCTCTTTCTGACAGACTTGAAGAGTAGGGAAGAAGCGTTAGCTTTGCTGGCAATAACAACGATTTTTCTGTCATGTTAGAGATCACAGTCATCCAAATTATTTACTGATCCTTTGTCGAAACTTTCTAGCCTTTCTACACTCTGTTATTAATTCCTCTCAGTATTTTGGATGTCGTAGTTCATCTCTCCTCTAGTGTCTTCAGGTTTAACTTCTTTTGGCTCTCCTCATAGAACATTTCCCTTAGCTTTGGGACTAAACTCGTTGCTAACCTTTACACTTTCTACAGTTTCTTCTCATGCTTTGATGGGGTGTGGATTATGTACACTGGTGCTGCATACTCCAGTACGGATCAGTGGGTCAGACACGCGTCGTACAGTGTCGGGAATGACTCCTCGCTTCTAATCTTAGATTTGCCAGACGCACGCTTGTGCGGCAGTCTTTCTTGGTCCTCAGCTGTTTAGATTCTCCATATTAGTTTCACATCATCTGAGAACAAGGATACTTCTTACTCCTTCGCTTTAGTCAAGTCGTACATGTACACAAAAAACAATACTGATAGTATTAATCTTTGCAGAACCCCACTCGTCACCCTCG